GCTACGCTTTGCACCTGTTCATAAACTTTATTATTAAAGGTGAAGTATGTGCTGCCCATGGATAGATCAATAGCCTTAAGATTGAACCTTTGCTCAGATTTCCCTCCCTAATAACTTCTGGGTGCTCATCTAGGCTGAGTGTAAGTGCTTTAATAGCTTTATGGACTAGGATGTTAGCATACATTGATACCACATCAACACTAACCAAAAGATTATCCTCTTTAATTCTCTGTGGATGTATTAATCTAGTAAATTCACTGAATATTTCCAATACTTAGCCAATTTCCTTATAATGAGGCCAAGCTACTAATCTTTTCCACCCGCCTTTTAAAGCGAAAATAACACTAGGCAACCTAGCTTCGATTAAAACTAGTAATTCGTCGATGTCACTGGTAAATATACAGTTTCCATAGGCCTTTTTTAAGGAGATGGTAAATTAGAACCGTCTAGTGTTCCTTAGTATCATACCATTAGTTTAATTCAATCGTACCAGGGTAGTTTTGCCTAGGGATTATCGTATTAATTTTCGAGCCCTCATGTCCACATCCCAAACCCGGCTTGTTAACTCATAATTATGTTTTAAAGTTTTCTCATGCAACATTCACTACCTTATAATTGTGACTAAGAGTAAGTGCTTGTCATTTTCATGGGCTGACATTCTTGTATTACCTCACTTGGCCTTGATCCAGTCTGTATGATCATCTTGTTTCCAGGATGCATCGGGCTCGAGTGTAGGTTTTTTTGCTTTTGTTGCTGTTGTAGTTGCACTGGTCGCTGTGCTTGTTGTTGTCCTGTGGTTAGATTTATCTTCTGAGCCACGGCTCTATTCTCTCTGATCAGATCTTTAGCAGTGATCATGAGGCTGGTAAAGCCAGCCACCTCAGCCTCAGCCCGTCGCACAGCTTGCGTTGAACTCGTTAGCATGGGCAAACTAGCGGACAAATTAGACTAATTTTCCCGGAAGGCCAGAGGGAATGGGTAAACAAAATAAAATACAATACAATACAATAGAGTAGTCAACATTCTAAAATCAAAGAAAAGAGAAAGAACGATCGTATAACGAAATATTGCATAAAATATAGGTGATAAATTGATGAGCCCACTCCTTAGGCAATCATTTTTCTGCCGTGGGGCGTTCATTGAAGTGAGTAGAATACCTCATGATCTAATAAAGCTTTACTAAGCCTTGCCTTCCTTGTTGTTTTCTATCATGCTCTAATGAAGCTTCTACTTCATCTGAGCCTCATCAATATCTCCAGATGAACTTGAAAAAAGAACCGATGGTATCAAGTGGAAATGTTAACATTCTGCCATACTGCCTCGTGTGAAGACGAACCACAGGCCGGATATGACTGTTAAGACAGAGCAAGACAATTGCAAAACCGATTTCTGTATTTGGACCGGTGTCTATAAGGCAAACTAACAATCGAAGACATGATTAAGTCTTGGGAATATTAGTATTTCTTGTAACCACAATCTAGTGCGAAAGGTGGAATAGACCTGGACGGCAATGCTTAAGTCATATATATATGATGAGAACAACTTTTGGGAAAGGTATGTAAAATTCAATGAAAACGTCAACTCTACTAAAAGTCCTTCATCACATTAAACCATTGATTCC